TTACGACATTAATCTTGGAGGAGTGGGCCTGTGAGGGAAAGAAGGATGCTGATGGGGGAGATATTAGGGGAGAAATGAGTGCCAATGCACACCAGAGGCAGGAAGCAGAAACTACACTTTGGGGGCTGTAGGGGGGGGACGATAGAGGAGTGGTGATGACAGGAATAACAAGGGAGACATTTCCTGAGCATTCACTATGGATCAGGCACTGCATTACATCTCTTAATCCTCACCACTACCCTATGAGGATACTACTGTCAGCTGCGTTTTATAGACAGAAAAATCAAGGCACGTAGAGAACAATCGCTCAAAGTCACACGGCTGCTCAGTGGCAGAGTCTACTTGCCAACTCCAGAAGTAGGAGGTGAAGCTGGGCCCAGATGGAAATCTGAGTAGCTGCATCAAAGCCATCCCCCTCAACCTCATTCCTGTCTTCCCAGAAATACCACCACTTATGCAAAAATGAGTGATTCTTTTAACCTAGGGCCTCTTTCTACCACCAACGATGCATTCCTACCTGCCAAACCAGTCTCAAGGACTAAATCTGCAGCACCAGTTTCGATGAGAACAAACAGTATGGCATTTCCACCCTCTTGGATCCCCATTTAAGAACAACATTGCCACTATCCTACCACCCACTCTGCTCCCTGAAGCTCAGCTGGCCAGAAATGTGGCATGTTTGGGCCCCCTTCAGCCTGCAGACACCTACACTTTACACGAGAAGTTTCCTGGTGGGCAACTTGTGTGCTATGCGCCCCCCACACCCCCACACCAACAAACTCCAGGACTGAAAGTCAGGGAGCGGGGAATGAGTCACTGGCAGAACTGGGGGAGGGGGGCACATGAGTCTCCCAGATTGTGGCCAGTGTCATGTGTTCTTGATCACAAGTTCCTCTCACACGCCTGCCTTGCAAACCCCACACAGTGTTCAGCTGGTACTTGGGAGACCAGCCGAGCCTTAGCCATTATTGCAGTTTGGTCTGGAAGGGTTTCTGGTACAAATCTAGCCTTCACCCTCAAAAAAGCTAGGACCGTAGTCTGCCATCATGTGATGGGGTAAGGAACAACAGGCACACACACCCCCCTCCCCTGGCGTCTACGTGCCCAGCCTAGCAGTACTGAGGCAGCCTCTTCCACTCACGACTTCCTCCCTACCTTCTCCCCAAGCTTCACTTCCCATCCACACACACCTGGCTCGGCTCACTGAGGAGACCCTGCCCCTCAGGGTTCATCCCCTCCTCTCAGACTTCCTGGGTGGTCTGGAGGACAGGGATCACTGGCCCTCTTTTACAAATGAGAAAACAAACAATGCTCAGCAAGAATGACAGGCCACAGAGCATGCTGCTGCCAAGGCTGGCCTGGAAGCCTCCCCCTCCCAAGCTGCTCAGCCACACTCTGCTAGATGGCTCCCAAACATGGCCTGGCCTCACATATCCAATGGGTGCTCTCATTCTACAACTACCACTGGCTGTCCTTCTAGGTGCTGAGGAAAGTAGAAAAGAGAGGAGACTCAGTGTCTGCTCTCCCATTCCAGTGGGAGAGAGACTACCAACAAGAACACAAACAGGTAATGTAACATCAGATAGCCATTAGTGCAAGGAGGAAAATAAGCAGGCCCCCAGAGGGTGGGAACACTAGGTAAGATGGGAAGCCCAGGAAGGCCTCCCTAGGTGCTGGGTTGAGCTTCTGTAGGCCTGAGACCCTCCTCACAATGTCTCTCTTCCAGATCATCTCACCTCCAGGAATTCCCCAAATGCAGACCCTTCCTTGGAGGGCCTGAAGGGGCTCCCACCTGGCTGGGCCACCATGCTAGTCCCAATCTTGACCCTCTCTCACCACAGCACAGGCTCTGGCAGGGCCTGGCCAAGCTCTCCTCCCAGGGAAAGGCTTTGTTGAACAGGAAACCCTGTGCTGGGGTCCCTCGATTCCTCTAGTGCTGCTCTCTCCCAGCCCTGGCTCTCCCCTGCACGTCCTGGCCTAGGCAACTTCTCAATCTCTACCTTGGCAGAATAGCTTCTGGATGACCGAGTCTCTCCCAATCCAGACCCACCAGCTTGTCTGTCACCCCTTGGCCTTGGCATCATGCCACACAGCAGGCCCTAGATGGACTCCTCCATCATCCTTCCCACCAGGTCTACAACTCAGATAACACTCCCTGTGCCTCCCTACGGCTTACAGACCAACTCCAACAAATCTCCCATCCCTGTTCCAAGACCAACCAACTCCTCCCTACAGCCCCCCAGCCTAAGACCCTCTGGCCTCTCAATTGGGTAGCCCCTTGGAACAACTTTCTTTAGCATTACTACTTTTGTACACCCCAGCAAGCCCTCTACCTCGACAGCCCCAAGGCCAGTCAACAACTCTGTTTTCCTCTCCAGGCACAGAGGCTATCACCTGCTCCTTGGTGTTGACAAGCCCTCGGTTTTTCTGTCCCGCAAATCTCATTGTCCAAATTCTCCAACTTGACCGATGACCCTTGCCCTGCCCAGCCCCAAGGTCACCTAACTCCTTCACTGCCAGGCCAACCCCTCAAGACCTCTCTCCAGCCAAGAAGGACCAATGCTTCCAGCCCAGTCCATGTCATCACGTCTCTACCTCAGACCCACCGATTCCTCTAGAGTGTGAGTCCTGACCAGTCCTTGCTACCCCCCCTCTCTAAATCTCCGAGAATGAGACTCCCCCAGCCTTAAGGTGTCACTACCTCCACCCCTCACCCAGGGCAGACCAATCAGCAGCCCTCCGCTCCACTCCTCCCAGCCAGACACCAATTGACCCTATTTCTTTACCAACATTCTTCCCTGCCCTTAACCTCTTTCACTGCCTCTCCATGACAGCCCATGGAGGAAAAAAAAAAAAAAACCCAAAAAACAAGTCTGCCTGGATAACAACTGCTATTTATGTGGCAGGAATTTACAAGGACTATCTTGTTTAATGCTCACAACTACCCCACAGTAGAAATTAGCACCTCCATTTGCAGAGAAAGAAACAGGAGGCTTAAAGAGGAAAAACAGCTCACTGAAAGCCAAACCTTTTCTGGAAACCTGCAGACCAGAAACTTTACCTCCCACACACATTCCCAACCTGTGCCAAACTCTCCAACTGCCCTTACCACTGACTCTCCAGCCCTCAAACTGACCATCTTCCCTTCCCCTCACCCTGGGCCTACCAACTGACTACCATCTCTGCCGCTCTCCTGGAATCTACTGAAGTAGTCACATCTAGGCCCCCACCCCATGAACCAACTCCTCTCTAAAGACCCCTAAAATGACCAACATTGCCTTAATGACAATAACTGCAACTTCACGAAGGCTCACACTGGCCAATCACTTTTCATACATGATTTCACTTAGTCCTCATGACTAAATACTCAATACTCAATCCTGTGGCATAAGTATTGTCAACCTCTTTAGTGATGGGAAAACTGAGGCTCAGAGCAGTTAGGTAATCAGCCTGAGGTCACAATGCAGGTAAATGGCAGTCAGGATTTGACCTGGAATCTCTGCTCTTGACCACCTCCCTGCTCTGCCTCTCCAGGTCTTTCCCCTTCTTGCTCTGAACTCCCTGGACTGGATACTATGCTATAGCCAGGGCCCACTCTGACTCTTCCTTTCCTCAGCCCCAATCCCCCAAGCCTCCAACTCCAATCTTACCGCCTATTCCTGGGGCCTAGAGCCCAAGAACTTGGGTAGCTCCCATTGCCAAGAATCTTAAATTAACTACCATCTCCTTAATAATTAGCCAAACTGGCATTTATGGCAAGCTTCCTGTGTGTTCAGTTTCCAGTTCCCATGTTTTCCACCCTTACATCAAAGACACCAATTCCTCCACTGCCAAAAACTGACAACAGTTCCTCACATTTCCCCTGGGCCAACAGACCATCTTCAATAGATCTATAACCAGTCTGGTCCCTCTCTTCACAGGCTCCATCACAGCAAGACTGACAGATTTCTCCAGCACAGACATGTTGCTGTCAACACTGCTGTCAAAATCTCTAGAGCGACTTTCCACCTCCCCAAACCTATGGGTCCAACACACTCCTCTAGTTGCCCTTTCAACTCCAACACTGAACTAACCTTCTCCTGGGGGACTATAATCCATAAACTTGCCCCCTCTCCCAATACCTCAAGCCACCAAACTTAAACTTCTTCAATGTCCTCACCTTCCATGAATAATCCATAAACTTGCCCCCTCTCCCAATACCTCAAGCCACCAAACTTAAACTTCTTCAATATCCTCACCTTCCATGAACCAGCACACCAATTCCTTACTTGATAACAGTTCCAAACTCTTCCTCAGGAAAGACTCTTCCTTCAACTGACAACCTCTTTTCTGTTTCCTTTTTTTGAGGAGGAGGAGGAGAAGGAGGCATGCAGTTGCTTTTCTTCTTAATACCAAGATCTAACATGGCCTCTGGCTATCTCACCCACCCACAAATTGACCACCAACTCTGCTTTTCTGGGAGTTTACCTTTGCCTCCTTTTACCAACTCCTCTACAGCCACAGTCCAGGTTTAATCCTCTTCCTCCTTTTAGCCAACAAAGTGACCAACATGACCACCCTTGCCCCGAGGCTTGCAGATCAGCAACTTAACCTCCTTCCACCCCCGTGGGCCCATCAAACTCCTCCAACTGCCCTTTCAGGACCTATGTGGACGCACTCTTCCTCCCCTAACTGCCCTCTCTACCCTTCCCTGGCGGAATTATGAACTCAAAAGCTGCACCCCCCCCCCACCACCAAACTTCCTTAATTACCCTTCATTTTAAATCCTAAAACGATCATCCTCCGCGTTGGGGGTGGGGGAGGGAGTATAAACCAGATACTCTTACCTTCCCCACCCTATAGCCACCCACTTTCAGCCTCCAGCTCTACACTGACGACTGTCTCTTTAAATCATCATTAGGTATTGTTTATTGAACGCCACCTCCGTGCCAGGCCCTGCACCGACCTTCTAGATTCCCTGCTCTCCCTAAAGCCCGCCCCCGTGCCTCCGCCGTAGCTACCATGTCTCCAGGGGTCTTTGGGCTCCACCGCTCCGGACACAATATCCTCGTCGGACGGGAATGTGACGCGCTTGGCTGCAGCCTTGAGGCGCCCATCGGCGGGGGGAGACGCCGGGCCGGGAGACCCGGCCTCAGCGGGGGCCTCCTCCGCGTCGCCGTTCGCGCCCGGCCCGGGCGGCGCCTCTTGCGGCGGGATCTCCATCGCCGCCGCCTCCTCACGGGGGCCCCGGGGACATGCCCCGGGCCCCGGACTTGTCTCTCCGGGCCCGCCTGCCGTCTCGGGGCATGGGCTCCGCCGCTGCTTCAGGCGCCGCCTCGGTCCGCTCTCCTCGTCGTCGTAGTCGTCGCCGCCGCCAGGAACCCAAGCGCGCCTCCGCCAAGCCCCGCGCGCGCCTGCTAGTTCGCGATCGCACTTTCGCTAAAAACCGGTAGAGCCCACCGTGTACTAAGAAAGCCAGAGAACAGATTTAAGCTCTTTGAGGGTGGAGATGTGTCGTATCTGATATGAAGGGGAGAACAAAGGACAGAAAGAACCACGGAATAAAGAAACGTCAGCAACGAACCTGCAAAGCCGGAACTACAGAACACGAGGGGCGGGGCGAGGTGGACGCCGTCTCCCAGAGCAGCGCGCAAGCGCGAACCTGCGCCGCCACCCCCACCCCCTGACCCCGCTCGCCGCCCCGTCCCCGCTTCCCCGCCCCTCCACCAGTCTAGATAACTAATGTTCAGGTTCGTACACATTCGTCACAAGCCCCGGAAATGGAGAAGGGACTGGGGTTGGTAGAAATAAAAACATCTACTTGGCCAGGATAGAAGTAAAGGGATGGAGAAGTTGAAAGGAAAGGCGACAGGTGCTACGTTGAATATATGACTACAGGTGACACACGCTGAAAGGGATTTTCTGCGTGGAGACGAAGCCTTCTGTTTGCACACTGCAGTTTCATCAATAGCTGTTCTGTAGCTGGTTAGCGTTGCAAAAAATATAATTCAAATTACAATATTAAAATAAATATTAGCCCATAAGGGGTATCATAGCCCTGACTTTTTAATAAAATTAAAAACTGGGATAAGAGGGCCGGCCCGGTGGCTCACTCGGGAGAGTGCGGTGCTGATAACACCAAGGCCACGGGTTCGGATCCCATATAGGGATGGCCGGTTCGCTCACTGGCTGAGCGTGGTGCTGACAACACCAAATCAAGGGTTAAGATCCCCTTACCGGTCATCTTTTAAAAAAAAAAAAAAAAAAAAAACTGGGATAAGAAATTAGAAAGGCGAGAAATGAAACTGCCCACCGAACAGCAGGTGGTGAAGGTAGATAACCAAGCCAGGAGCGAACGAGCGCGAGCCCAAGCCGCGCCCCCGAGGGCTCGGTTCAACCGCTTACGGTTCGCCTCCGCACTTTCGCCAGGACTTCCCCGCCCATCTAGCGGCCTGGGGAGGCGGGGCTGAACCCATAAAAGGGGGCTGGGGCGGAGTCAGTCACGTCGTTGCCAAGGCAACTGGAGAGCTAGGCCCGGGACTCGCCAGAGGCCGCGTTGTGAATGAACTGATGGCAGCTGAGGCTACCGGCTGGCCTTACTCAACGTTATCGGCCGCCGCACTTTCGCGACTGAGACGATAACAAATCTCATCTATCTATCTAACTATCTATCTATATATATTTTTTGTCTTTTTTGTGACCGGCCGCACCGCGCTCAGCCAGTGAGCGCACCGGCCATCCCTATATAGGATCCGAACCCGCGGCGGGAGCGTCGCTGCGCTCCCAGCCCGCACCCTCCCGAGTGAGCCACGGGCCGGCCCCGCCACGGGGTTTTTGATGGAAGGCTTCACTTACGTTCTGAACTTGAAGGGGCTACAAAAGGGGACAGAAAGTACTTTTTTTAAAAACGGTCTGCTGAAAGATTACTAGTGACGGGGGCTAAGTGAAGCGAGTGATATAGACGGCCACGCTACAAGGCTGGAGAGAAATGGAGAAAGGGCGAAGCTTCACCCTCATCACTAATCCTAAACCTTCTCTAGTGGCGCCGCCGCACAGGGCCCGACCATCCCCCGCCCGTGTGCGGGAAAGCGAATTTGCTGTCTCTCATGTCTACCAAAGATAAGGCGACAGGAGGAGCGCTTGGGCGCGACCATGTGACCCAGTGAAAGCCACGCCCCTCACTTTGTAAAGGTACGGGGCACCGCTCACCCAAAAAGGAAATAAAGTCCAAATCTCCCAGTCCCGGCATTCACGTTGTTCCGGCCATTCCCAGAAACTAGCGGCGGTCCGATCTCCCCACCTTTATCCGGGTTCCTCCCCTTCTTGGCCCAGCTCCACCAGATTCGGCCCTTGGATAACCACCCTATACCCTTAAATCTGATTCCATCCTCGTAGGGTACACTTTAAAAAAAAAAAAAAGGAAAAAAACAGGAGTCGAATTTTCCTGGGATAATTGGTTCTTTGGCAGAAGGGGAGCATTGGGGAGTATCTTCAGGGTGGCTGAACTTTGCAACCTCTTCAATAAACAATTTCCCACTCTGCAATGTGCCTTCCTTTATCCCCCAATCCCCCCAACTCCATCTTCAGGATCTGGTATCAGGCCCGTATTTCTGTAGAGTTCAGAGTTCTGCGAGGTAGAGCATTCCTTTCAACGGAATCTAGAATCCTGGTGTTGCAGAATTTTACTGACTAGACACTAGAGGTCTCAAGAATCCAGAGTTGCTTGGAGCTTGACTCAAAATTCCAAGGGAGCTCAGAACTCTACAGGCCCAGAGTTCCTGGCTCAGGAACATTTGGAAGGCTGGGATACTGTGACTAAGTCTAAGGTAGAAAAGTGAACACAATAATGTCTTATGGCTTGAAGGTGTATGAAATAATGTCACTACATCGCAGCAGTGCCTCAGCCTGCACACCTATGGGAGTCTGCAGATGAGACACGTAGAAGTTGGCCACATCCAGGTCAGTGGCTCCAAACTGGGCGGCCACATGCACACCCTCGTGCAATGTGAAGCTCACCTGGTTACCCACCATGGCAAGCAGGCTGCGGAGGTAGCGTTCCCGAAGTGCAGCTCGGGCCCGCTGTTCCTGGAATTCTGGACATTCCTGGATTTCAGGAACCTCCAGCTTCAGGGAAGCCCTACGTCCATCAGGGGCAAAGCCACGGCTCAAGCCATCAGGGCCTCGGGGAGGCCGTAGCACAGGCACGGGAATGGTCGGTGAAGTCTGCATTGTCCTGGCTGTTGAGTGAAGAAAAAAGACCAGGGAAGCCTTTAAATAGGGAGTGTGAGGCTAAAGGAGGAAGAGGAGGGGGGATTGAGAAGAGAGGCTGGTCTACCAGGCATCTCAACTTTACCTGTCCAAAACCTTGATTCCTCCACCTGAAATCTGTGCCATCCCTCCTACAGGTATCCCCTGTGGTGCCACCCTTCCCCCAGTGGCTTGGGCCAGAAACAAAGTGTCAGTGCACAAGAACATGAGCCCCATGAAGGCAGGGACTTTTATCTGCTTTTATCATGGCTTTATCCCCAGTTCCGGGCAATAAATATTTGCCAAAAGGATGAACCCCATAACACCAAGGTCAAGGGTTCAGATTCCCTACCAGCTACCAAAAAAATAAATAAATAAAAAATACGGATGAAAGTTTGATGAGGTATGGGACATCTACGTAGTCTTAAAGTACCACCTCACAAGATATTTACTCACTGTATAAAGGATAAGCAGTAACTTTATAGTGGAGAAACCTGGTGGACATGCCCTTAACTTAGTGATCAAAGCCAACATCTCCAGTAGTGGGACACCGAGAACGACATGGCATCACTTCTGTGGTATTCCTGCCCCAAAGTGATTACCTAAATGTAATTATGAGGCAACTCAAATTGAGGAACATTCTACAAAAAACAAAACAAACAAAGAACTGCCTAGACTATTTAAAAATATCAAGGTTAGGCCGGCCCGTGGCTCACTCGGGAGAGTGCGGTGCTGATAACACCAAGGCCACGGGTTCGGATCCCATATAGGGATGGCCGGTTTGCTCACTGGCTGAGCGTGGTGCTGACAACACCAAGTCAAGGGTTAAGATTCCCTTACCGGCCATATTTAAAAAAAATATATATATATATCAAGGTTATAAAAGACAAAGAAAGGCTGAGAAAAAAAGATATATATGTATATAATCTATACATATTCATTCACAAACTAACACTTCTCACTCTCTCCACTGCCAACATCCTGGGGCAGCCACCATCACTTCCTGTTTGGACTACTGTCATGAACTCCCCACTAGGTCCCTGCCTTTCACCTTCATCCTCCACAGTCTGTACCCCACACACAGCCAGAGGCACCCTGTTAACACCTGAGTCAGATCACATCCCTCCTCTGCTCAGAGCCCTCCTGTGGCTTCTGTCTGGCCTCAAAGAGGGGCAATTTGCCAGTAGTCACTAAAACAGCAAAAGCACAGTCATTTAGCATTTGTAATTGGGAAACCGAAGACATGGAGTAGGAGATTTTTAGCTGCCTATCTTTTTGCACCTTTTGAATTCTATACCATATAGTATTTGTATATTCAAAATAATTTTTAATTTTAGAGAGGAAGAGGCTTATTGTAATGCTTCCATGCCCTTTAAAAAATGCTACAGCTCGGGCCGGCCGGTGGCTCACTCGGGAGAGTGTGGTGCTGATAACACTAAGGCCCCGGGTTCGGATCCTATATAGGGATGGCCGGTTTGCTCACTGGCTGAGCATGATGCTGACAACACCAAGCTAAGGGTTAAGATCCCCTTACCGGTCACCTTTAAAAAAAAAAAAAAAAATGCTACAGCTCTTGTCCTCAAGAATCTGAACCTTGGGCCGAGCCCGTGGCGCACTCGGGAGAGTGCGGCGCTGGGAGCGCAGCGGCTCTCCCACCGCGGGTTCGGATCCTTTATAGGGA